ATATATATATATATATATATATATATATATATATATATATATATATTCTATTATTATTATATAATATGTAATATATTTGAATAAAAATGTATATACAAAAATAACACAAATATTCCACATTCATTATTTAGCAAATAAATCTAAACAAAATTTATAACTAAGAGCTATAATAAACACTGAATAGTAAAGTTAAACATGTGTGTGTGATTCTTTCTGTTAGACCGACATTTTTTGTATTTCTATTCCGTTTGTGTGTTGCTTGTCATTTTACTTAGAAAGTATTGTGCCAATATTCTGAATCTGAATTCAAAAGTTTAACAAATAAAGTGAAATAAAAGAACAGACCTGTGCTAAACATTGCATGATAATGTACATATTTAATTCCTGCTGTTGAGCTGACGAGTTTTTCATTGGTTTTCTATTATTTTGTGTGTTGTAGGCGAGCATGTGGCCCTCCGTCCCGCTGGTGGTTCCTCAAGCCACACGGGGCACAGCGATGGGACTGGCCACATCCATACAGATGGTCGGCATCGGCATCTCTAACCTGGTGGCGGGACAGATACTGGGAACCAAGTCCAGGTGACATTAATGGCTAGCATTCATGTTTAATGCACACTGAAATTTAATACATGTGCATGCATTATACTCACAAAAACTTGTTTTGAAAGCATCATGATATTCTTCGTATTATCTTGGAATACCATGTATATGAGTTAGTGAGTTTTATATGTCTGTTGTGCAGTGATGTTAAGATCCCGTTGTGGACATGGCAATATATGATGATCTTCATGCTGGCCAATACAATCAGCTGCATAATCTCCATACTCAACATCGTTAACTACAGACAGGTAACACACACACACACACACACACACACACACACACATCCACCCACTATCGCCACATCTCTCTGAATCCCTAACCTCACGTAACCATAGCAACAGTGTGATGAAGGAGAACTGAAGAGTTTGAGCGAGGAGGAGTCAAACGAGTTCACACTGTTACAGTGTTTGAGAATGTCCTTGATCGGTGTAATTATTCTCAGAGCCAGAAAAGCTGGATTTGCCTCTTATTATTGTCTACATCGTAAGTTCGAGTGATAGAGAAACTGCTATCAGTGGATTCGAACTTATGCATGACTCGAGCGACACATGAGTTTTGAGTACTTTGGAATAGCAGAGGTTATTTTTGGCTTTGAAAACACATCAGTCCATTTCAGTAGAGGTGGATTGGATTGTTCTGCTGTGACAGTATCGCTCATGACCTAATGCAGTGCAAATGAACTGAAAATGAACCCTGTTTACTTTTGTAATACTGTATTTATTCCTGATCTTATCATATGCACAGTTCATCAGTACATGTGATACCACAGGAAAAAGGTCCGTTATCTTAATCAAGTAGATCAAATGAGGTAGAATATCCTATGCAAAGCATAGCAGAGGTTATTTTTGGCTTTGAAAACACATCAGTCCATTTCAGTAGAGGTGGATTGGATTGTTCTGCTGTGACAGTATCGCTCATGACCTAATGCAGTGCAAATGAACTGAAAATGAACCCTGTTTACTTTTGTAATACTGTATATATTCCTGATCTTATCATATGCACAGTTCATCAGTACATGTGATTCCACAGGAAAAAGGTCTGTTATCTTAATCAGCAGATCAAATGAGGTAGAATATCCTATGCAAAGTGAATGTTATGAATAGTTTTATGATGACCTTGAGATATTGTTTAGATGCAATGTACGTGTGTGTTTATAGGGAAGCATTCTGAGTAAGACGACTAAGAGATCACAGAGAACCGCTGATGAATGAAGAGGACAACGAGGAGATAAACGACGCTCCCTCCATCAACAGGTCATAGAGGAATCGCTCACATTCTGTCTCGTGTCGTTGGACGTTACTAAAGGGAAACACGTGTCGTATTATATTCAGTATTTACGCTATCATAAAGAGTTTCTCTTGCCAGATTTTCTCAGGCCAGTCCTCTTGACTACCAAGTTTAATGTAACACTTTCAAAAATGAAATTTTTTATGGATTGTGGAAGCTGGGATGGAAATGTTGACACTCATCTGTTAATATCATCAAACAAACATAGTTTTTTTTAACGAGACACTGTTTCACATATGAACAACGTTATTGACTTGCTAGAGTGTTTGTCTTTAAATGTCCTATGTTGCTTTAAAAACAGATTTATGAATCATGAAATGTTAATATTGCCTTTGAACTTGTATTAATAGCTGCTTACGAAATGATTGAGTGTGCATTTTGCAAATTTTAAGCTTTTTTTAAAAATAAAAAATTAAGTTTTGTGCCACCGAGAGATTATGAACACTGTTCCCTTTTGTAATTTCATTGTACATTTACTATATACACATATGCAAAAATTTAAATAATATATTTATTTTAATATAGTGTAATGAAATTGTAAATGCATATTTTTTTTAAATATATTTTAAGATATTTACATTTCAAATATATAAATAAAGATAAACAATAATATAATTAAACACTTAAATATCTAAAACAATTATATTTTTATTATATATATTATATGTAATATTAAAAAGTTAGTATTGAAATATATTTTTAAGTATTAATTCATAAATAGCATGTAAAATATTGTAATTAATATATATATATATATACACTGATTTTTTATTTGATGTATGTATGTGTATATATATATAAACTCAGGCTCTCATAACGCATTAAAACCAAACGGGGGCAATGGAGAGCCGCTCAGGTATGATTGGTCACTATCTGGGGGCGTTGCAAGGGTAGTTATCAAAGATCTTAACGCATTAATTATTTATTGTTGCACTTTTTCATTTTATAACCAGACGAAAAACACAGTTTAAATCCATATAAAACCTGACTGTAAGTTTAAATAACTTCAGTTTACCCCGTGCACAGTCCACCAACCTTGATTCTTGTTATTCTCCATAAAATGAGTGCGATTGAACAATCTGATTGGACACTGGCGTTCTTTGACTATAACAGGTAGGCGTGTCCCTTCCCGTGATTGGCTTACGGTGTCTGTCAGTTAAGCTGTGCCCCGCCCTCTTCATTCCTGCGTGTGTGTGGAGAGCGCAGCCGGACGCGTGTGGTCAGCGGTGACCGTGGGAACCCGACCCGCTGCGGCCGCCCAGATCTGCGAAAATACGTTTTTGGACGCATAATGGAGTTTCGGGATAGTTGTCTTCACGTATCGCTGAAAGGTTCGTCAGGAGCGGTGAGCTAGTGGAAAGTAAACACCTCCTCTCCATCACTGAGCGCTTCTACAAGTTTGCCACATTATGTTGGAGCTCGCACTGTAACGCGTCGGAGCGCGGAAGGTCCCGGATTGAATCCCCTCAGAAATCAACCTAAGAGAGCTCGGCTGAATTAAAACTTTTTAATTAAAAAAAATATATATTATCATTATTATTAATATCCCCTTTGTGTGGGTCCTGTCAGATGATTATTGTGCGTAAATAAATAATCGTAGTGAGTTTGTGATGAGGCGGACTGCAGCGCGCGGGGGAGGAGGACCCTCCGCTGGAGTTATTGCGCAGTTTTTAAAATAACGGTCAAACGGGAACACTCTCACGGCACAGAGTATGTCTGCTAAAGATAACGCCTGCCGAAAATTCCAGGCCAATATTTTCAACAAGAATAAATGCCAGAACTGCTTCAAAGCTCGAGACGCGCACCTGCTGAGTGATGAAGACTTCACACAGGTAATATTAATATGAATGTATCTGCGAAATGACCGAATAATTGCTTACGCTCGACTGGACTGATAACTTACAGTGTCGAATAACTAATGACCAGCTAACTGCTTCAAAACTACACTAACAATAAAGTACCATGATATAGTATGGTTCTTAAACATGGTAAAAAAGGGGTGACCGTTAGCAAAACATAATACCATGTTTATTTTTTGGACGTGTACTATGGTAATGTCATGGTATTGTTGGAGGTAAATGGATCATTTAAATAATTTCTCCAAACCTACAGAAAGTTTCCTATCAATCCATATTAAAGCCTAACAGAGGCACTGGATAACCACCAAACTGCCTCAAAACTACACTAACAATAAAGTACTATGGTAATACTATGGTTTTTAGACATTGTACCGTGGTCCAAGGCTAGCTGCCCATTAGAGGATGGCAGTTACACAATATAACTTTACCATAATACCATATTTTGGACGTGTACTATGGTAATGCCATGGTTTTGTTGGAGGTATATATAATATAGAGTATCGTGTAAAAACCATGGTGTATTATCAAGGTATATAAGGTGCATTTGATTATATTTAACCACTTTTTGACATAAGGATGACCCGATTTACTTGAATTCCGCCTTTCAACCTTTATTTGTAAAACTAGGCTATAACTAATAACATGTTTTTTCCCGCAGCATGTGTGGTTAAATATTAGGGTTGCTTGAAAGGTTGTAGGTTCAAACCCTAGAGAGGTTAATCCATTCTAATTACCATTACGGCTTTGATCGAGGCGCCTAACCCTGGAGGACTGACCCGTTTCTGGTGAACTGTTGCTTTGGGTAAAGGAGTCTAATTAGCGATTAGTAGTAATTAATGATGCTGTTTACCAGATGCACATTGTAGCTCAGTGATGTGCTTCAAGGTGCTGCGTTTGTGGTTTAGAAAGTTTAGAAGCTTTAAACTGCTGGTCTAGTTTTGCCTGGCTAAAAATCTGGGCTGGTAATTAAAAGGTTGTGGGTTCGAACCCATCGCCATTGTGACCTTGATCAAGTATAAGAGGACTGATCCTGTTTGGCTAGAAGTATCTGCTAATTTACTAATTAGTGGCGTAGTCTAAGTGCTATTTCATCAGCTGCAGACCCAAGATACTAGGGCTGGGTTTTGACACAAATTTCACGATTTGATTCGATTCTCATTCACAAGCTTGCGATTCGATTCAATATCTATTATTTTGGATATATATCAGGTACAGTACATGCCTGAAAAAACTCAACTAATGCTGCAAAATACACATGAGAGTCAGTTGGTACAACATTGCTATAATATTGAAGGTTAAAATTCATGAATAATAAAGTTACAGTTACATATTAATATTTCTACTTCAGTTCGTTTTTTTGAAATATAAACATTTAAATGGTGGCTGTCATAAAAACTTGATGGATTTATCCAAACATAAATGAAACATTGAAGAACAGTAAAAATTATAATGAATATGTTATATGGTGCATATATTTAGCAAAATGTCCCTCTCTACAGTTTATTTTTCTATCTGACTAATGAGTTTATGGTCACCGAATATGTTTTTTTCTGAGGTAAATGTGACGTTAAGTGACATATTGTTTAGAAGCCGTTATATTGATGTCTTTGCGCAGCTGAAACACTGATTGAGAGATTACATGAGACAGGATGCAGATTGTAAAGTTGTACTCTTTCTTTTAACTTACCTTCGGATGTTTAGTCATGTTTATTTTGTGCTGAAACTGGTATTAATGTGGAGGAGATGATCAGTTCACGTGCCGCGTCTGTTGAACTGAGGTGCTACAGCGATCTGTCACTCCTCATTAAACAGTGCCAAAACGGCATTAATTGTTTAAATACTGCAATACAATGGACAGAATTTGAAATCTGAGACTTTGTTTCATATTAAAAGTACCAAAGCACAATGCTTATTGCGATTTATTGGATGGGAGGTACCCTTCAACGTTCCATCGTTTAACTGAAAGCAGGCTAGACTAATCGATTCTTGGGATTTAGGAATCAATATCGTTCCGTAAAAATGAGAATCGATTAATATCGAGATATCGATATTTTTTACCCAGACCTACAAGATACATGTCGTATCGGAGCTTTTATACTATTTTAAGCCTTTATTCCAGCTCCAGAACGGTTTTATGGTAAATTCACACGCAAATGCAGGGGGTTTCCAGACTGTATTCTTAAAATTTCCACAGCTGGGTCTCGACTATATTACTTAGGTGACGTTGCCTCCGTTTGCCATCTGTCTCACTGTATAGGTTGGATTGTTATCAAAGAATGAAGTGATGAAGCAAAGAAAGACTGAATATTTGGACGTGAAAGCAAGCGCTTTTGTCTTTGAACGTGAGGGAGAAGTCCAGAGAAATGAGCCTCAAAGCAGCACAGAAGTCTTTTTTTAGAAAGCACTCAGAAATTGAGTTGACAGTGAAGTGAATCAGGTGTTTAGTACCTGTAAAGGCAGTCAAAGTCATATGTTAAGAGTCGAATTCTCCTGGCTGTGGCTCTTACTTATTTTTAAGGCTCAGATTTGCAATCATAACCTTCCCAGCAAATTTCTTTGGTATTTGATTCTGTCGTCTTGCTCTAAAGATCCACATGAAACCCATTTTACTTCTGTGATGTATTTCCAAGTGAATCCGAGATATTTAATCAGAAAAAAGTCAGAAAAAAAATTATAATAAAAAGTCTTGGCAAAAGAATAAAGTTATACATTTTGAGCATAAAGCCAAAATTATGAGGACTAAGTCAGAAATGCAAGCTCAAAGTCATAATATTTTAAGTATGACGTCAAAATAAAGTCATAGCAGTCATGATTAAAGTTGTAATTTTGAGAATCACAAGATTTTCAAAATCACAATCAAAAGAATGAAAATGTACTGTAGCAAAGTTGTAATATTTTGAGTATGAGGTCAAAACTATGAGAATAAAAAAATCATAGTATTACGCGATTATAATTGCAATATTTTGAGAGCAAAATCAAAATTATGAAAATAAAGTTGTAGTATTATGAAGATTGAGTACAGTTGATGCAGTACAAGATTGAAGTCGTAATATTTTGAGAATTAAGTAGTATATTGTGTACATTCATTATTTTATAATATAAAAAACATACAGTAGTAGGAGAAACAGCGTGAATATTACAATGAATAGAACGCCTCTAGACTTATGCAATATTCTACTTTATTTAAATATTGCTTTTATCTCAAAACAAAACTTTATTCTACTAATACTACAACTTTCTCTTAATATTATGACTGTTATATTTTGAATATCTCAGAATATTATGATTCTAATCTTGTTTTGCTAAATAATGTAAATTGGGCCCTAAGTCAGTTTTGATTTTTATCTTGACATAACTAGGTAATGAGTTTATGGTCACCGAATATGTTTTTTTCTGAGGTAAATGTGACGTTAAGTGACATATTGTTTAGAAGCCGTTATATTGATGTCTTTGCGCAGCTGAAACACTGATTGAGCGATTACATGAGACAGGATGCAGATTGTAAAGTTGTACTCTTTCTTTTAACTTACCTTCGGATGTTTAGTCATGTTTATTTTGTGCTGAAACTGGTATTAATGTGGAGGAGATGATCAGTTCACGTGCCGCGTCTGTTGAACTGAGGTGCTACAGCGATCTGTCACTCCACATTAAACAGTGCCAAAACGGCATTAATTGTTTAAATACTGCAATACAATGGACAGAATTTGAAATCTGAGACTTTGTTTCATATTAAAAGTACCAAAGCACAATGCTTATTGCGATTTATTGGATGGGAGGTACCCTTCAACGTTCCATCGTTTAACTGAAAGCAGGCTAGACTAATCGATTCTTGGGATTTAGGAATCAATATCGTTCCGTAAAAATGAGAATCGATTAATATCGAGATATCGATATTTTTTACCCAGACCTACAAGATACATGTCGTATCGGAGCTTTTATACTATTTTAAGCCTTTATTCCAGCTCCAGAACGGTTTTATGGTAAATTCACACGCAAATGCAGGGGGTTTCCAGACTGTATTCTTAAAATTTCCACAGCTGGGTCTCGACTATATTACTTAGGTGACGTTGCCTCCGTTTGCCATCTGTCTCACTGTATAGGTTGGATTGTTATCAAAGAATGAAGTGATGAAGCAAAGAAAGACTGAATATTTGGACGTGAAAGCAAGCGCTTTTGTCTTTGAACGTGAGGGAGAAGTCCAGAGAAATGAGCCTCAAAGCAGCACAGAAGTCTTTTTTTAGAAAGCACTCAGAAATTGAGTTGACAGTGAAGTGAATCAGGTGTTTAGTACCTGTAAAGGCAGTCAAAGTCATATGTTAAGAGTCGAATTCTCCTGGCTGTGGCTCTTACTTATTTTTAAGGCTCAGATTTGCAATCATAACCTTCCCAGCAAATTTCTTTGGTATTTGATTCTGTCGTCTTGCTCTAAAGATCCACATGAAACCCATTTTACTTCTGTGATGTATTTCCAAGTGAATCCGAGATATTTAATCAGAAAAAAGTCAGAAAAAAAATTATAATAAAAAGTCTTGGCAAAAGAATAAAGTTATACATTTTGAGCATAAAGCCAAAATTATGAGGACTAAGTCAGAAATGCAAGCTCAAAGTCATAATATTTTAAGTATGACGTCAAAATAAAGTCATAGCAGTCATGATTAAAGTTGTAATTTTGAGAATCACAAGATTTTCAAAATCACAATCAAAAGAATGAAAATGTACTGTAGCAAAGTTGTAATATTTTGAGTATGAGGTCAAAACTATGAGAATAAAAAAATCATAGTATTACGCGATTATAATTGCAATATTTTGAGAGCAAAATCAAAATTATGAAAATAAAGTTGTAGTATTATGAAGATTGAGTACAGTTGATGCAGTACAAGATTGAAGTCGTAATATTTTGAGAATTAAGTAGTATATTGTGTACATTCATTATTTTATAATATAAAAAACATACAGTAGTAGGAGAAACAGCG